AGTAAGGCTGGATTGCAATCTCATAATCACACTTAGCCCCTTATCTCTGTGGTTATTCAAATGCCAAACCTAAAGACCAGTCTTTCGATGGCAGTGTTATAAGGGACAATAACTTGTAAATCTATGAATTGCACTTCTGTGTACTCTTTCATACTCCAAAGAACTGTCCCTGAGTTAGTCTTCTTTGATGATACAAAGGAGAAAAGGAATGGTCTGCTTCTTGAAATAAGAAAATACCCACTTCAGAGACTGGATGCCACCATGTGTAATCATGATAAACATTGTTCATGGGAAGATAAATATTTATAATATTCTAGAAATGGTTTTGTACCTAAAGAAGTTGGACATTCTACCAGAAATGGTTTCAATTAAATTGTCATAAAAATTAGTACCAAGGAGAAATTCAGACAAACTACAGTGGAATCACCATAAATTCAAAATTAGTCACTCCAAATAACTGAAGTTTTGATGTACCAGAAAAATTACCAAAACAATACACTTTTTAATGACCACATCTGGGGTCATATACCAGTAAAAAGCCCTGCCTGTGACATGTTTTACATGCCTGTATTATGTCACTTAAAGCATCATAATTTTGCTTTTGTCAGTCTTTCCTTAGAGGGACTTTATTCATTCAATAAATATCAGCTTCCTTACAGTCTACCAGTTGCTAGGAATATTGCAGAGAAAGAATCAGACAAAAATATGCTTTCGAGAGTACATTCTAGTGTGAGAGAGAGAAATAAAAACTAGATAAACAAGCAAAACATATCATATGTTAGATAGGATTCTCCTAAATATTCATCTCTGCCTCACTAGCATTTAGCACAATACATGGACATGGTAGACACTCAAAAACTACTCACTGCTCTGTTGGTTTACTTTTAGGATTGTGCAAAAAAAAAAGCATAATTCTTGAATTTACTGTTGCTTTTAATGTGAACAAACAGTGGAGTCCTGACACTGACCAACAGACATACAAAGGAAATTTGTAGGGTTAGGGATAATGGAATCACTTCCAGAATATAACGTTAGTGAACATGAGCTCTGTTATGTGTGAGTAAAGTAGCCTGGCAGATTCATTAATATTGGTGATCTCAGCAATTGACATAAATTGTATTATGGAGCCTAAATAAATGGAGATTTGGAGACTTTATTTAAAGTGTTAACTATTTCATTCTCTGCAATTGTTGAAGAACATAAACGTTTCTCCCCATACATTCCATTGACCTCGGTATTTCTTAATTTTGAGTGGTTCAGAGGTATCCTATTAATTAATTAATTTTTCCATAGGGTGTCTGAATCCTTGGCCCTGTCTACTTCTCAGTTAAGATTCTAATCATCATTCCAACAGTGAGGAACAATTGCAACATGTCAAAGTCCAAAGAAAGACATTTTAGAAAATAACACATAATAATTCAGTGTGCCCAGTAGCTCTCGGGAACTAGATGAAAAGCTATGTGTGTGACGGGACCATGTACATGACGTGTGCTAGTCAAAAAAGAAGCCTTTCAGGGCTTGTGCAGTGACTATTGACAGAGCCCATGAAGACTGGCGGAGCTTCCTCCTTCTCACCCCAGCTTCCTCGCTTCTGCAAGTCTTGTCAGGGATTGAATGTTTCGGGGAAGTCTATGCACCTCATTCACATACACATAGACGTTCATAAATGGTGCACATTAGTTCTGGTTCTTTAGTGCAATAGTATATTTCAATAAATTTACTTGGGGGGGAGCACAAATTACAAAAGCAATGCATGGTCTATCTAATAATATTAGTAAATTAAAGACAAATCAAAGGAGGAAATAAAAATCCTCTGTAATTCTACTATCTAGAGTTTTCCAGTGAAAACACAGCCATACCCCAGTCTTCCTCCTATGCATGTGCAAAATTACATATATATAAACATACATATATTTAATTTGCAAAATTGGGATCACATAGTCAATGCAATTTCGCTTTTTAAAATGTTAATATTGAATCACAGACATTAATGCTTGCATATTTTTCCATTACATGAAATCACCATGTTTTTATTTTTTGTTGGGTATATAAGTGATCCCAAATATTCAGCGATACACTATTATCAATAATGTACTAATGATCATCCTGTGACATAAATAGTCCACCCATATCTTTGTTGGTGGCTAAGTGATTGGTGCTTCTCCCAGCCAGGCCCTAGAGCAACCTCTCTTCCAGGCTGGGCAGGGGGTGGAAAGAGGGAGAGAGAGCAGGTGTAAAGGCCAGGGCACTGTCAGGTGTTCTGGAGAGAAGCCTGGGCCCTGGTTTCTCTCAGTGGAGGACTCGATGTCTTTTCACAGTTGGTGACATTGCCTTTTGCAGAGGAGACAGAAGAGTCAGAAAAATGCATGCCAGGTAACTCAGGCACTTTAAATGTGCTCATCTCCACACTAGCCCCAGCTCTTTCATGCAGTTTATACTGACCATCTTCGTTCCATCTATGCAGAGCTGTATCTTAATGGGGCTCTGAGATCTTCAGAAACACACCTAGTCATTACTAGAAAATGCATGCACTTAATACTTTTGAGGCCAGAGAAATATTTGTTCATTCATTCTCGAACCACCCGCCTGTCCCCAACCCCCAAACCTAGGAAATAGACTGTAAGTTCCACGAGGGCAGGCACGTGTCTACTGGTTCTGCCATTGTATCCTCAGTGCGGAGCACATTGCCTGGCACATAGCAGATAATTAATAAATATTTGATGAGTAAGAAAAAATATTAGTAATATTATCTCATCCACCTGCCACTTGGGTCTTGACTCTGCTTTTGCTGAAAGAAACTGGGTCCATGCAGGTTTATTTCTTCAATCCTGTTGGCTCACCTGGGGAGCGACAGCCTTACCTGACCCAGGCTCTATTGTGTGGGGACTGTAATTTTTTCTGTTGAAACTTGCTTGTCCTGATTTACAGACAGAATCTTTAGGTCTGCTGTTTGGTACATTATTCCCCTGGGACATGATCCTCGGGGGAAAGAATCATGTCCCAAGGGATCTGCGTGGTCTGTAGGATCCTGTTCCTTCTACTGACACCTTGAAGTCCTTCACTATTACATGCTGTTTTATTGACATTTTAGGCTTAAAATATTAGACTGTTGTGATGGCTGACCAGATGTTTCTCTGATGAGTTCCAGAAATAGCCTCAATGAATAAAAGTAACACAATTTTATTTGTTTTAACACTTACCGTATAAATCCTAGGTGTCAGCTTTATTCTGGGTACTAGAAGAGAATGTAGAGGAAGAGATGCTCGTAGGTATACAGTCAGTTACTGCAGCATAATTAGCATGTGCACAACATATATGTACACACAGCAGATACACAGCATAATTCCCCTGCAGTGTGATAAGGGATATAACTGGGTACGTACAAGATTCTGTGAAAGCACAAAGGAGGGAGCTACCTGCTAATTCATCTCAGTGAAGCTGGGGAAGGTTTCGTGGAGGTAGCTTATTTTTCAATGGGGTTCGAAATATGAGTAAGAGTATGTCAGGCAAAGAAAGGGGGGATAGTTCAAAACAAAGAGTCGTGCAAGCCAAAGCTCAGAAAGGTGTGGTGCACGTGGGACCAGCGAAGCCTTCCCAGTGGTCAGAGCGTAGGGTGTTCCCAGGGAGAGTGGACTGTAGAGGTGCACTTCGGATGCATAATCAAGGTACCAGCTGAGGAGTTTGTACTTTGTTATGTAAATTATGAAGGTGTTGATAAGGGACGTTTATCCCTCAACCATTAGTATCATCAGGCCAAATTAAGACATTTCCTTCTGATAATGGTCTGTTAAGAAGATCAAGAAGACTTGATTTCCTCCTCATTTGGATTTTAGGCTTTGCTATATCCTCTCTTAATCCTGGAGTCATAACGGTCCAAGACTTTCTTAATTTTTGTTTCACCTTTCGTTCATTTTATTATTTATTTATTTATTTATTTATTTATTTATTTACAGAGGATGGGAGGGAGGAGAGAGGGAGGGAAATAAACATTGATATGAGAGAGAAGCCTTGATTGGTTGCCTCTACCATGTGCCTTGATTGGGAATGGAACCTGCAAGTCAGGCATGTGCCCTGACCAGGAATTGAACCGGCGACCTTTTGCTTTGTGGGGTGACTCCCACCTATAGAGCCACACAAGTCAGGGCCCTTTATTTCTTAATTGTTTTTATAGCTAAACTCTTTTCAACAATTCAGTTTCAATAAACAGTTCTAGAACTGTTTATTTGGTGTCCAAAGCTGGGTTCAAACCTGAGATTAGACCAGTTCTAGCATGTAGCATGGACCATTTATGGAACTCATTCCACAAAACGGTCTGTTACATTACGGGTGGTCAGAAAATGGCCACGTGAGACCAATCTATATCAAATCTCAGTGGCAGCTGAGAACTTATCTCCTCAAAGCCCTTAGAAAATTCCATTGAATTTTTGGAAGGTTTTAGCCAAGCAATATCTATGATGGATGGAGGAAAGGGAAAATGAAATAACTGACATCATTGTAGTTATCAAGAAGAAATTTCTAAAAGTAACATTTCAGAAAAATATCATATGCCATGTACAAGTTAATATCAGATGCTCTAAATTTCTTTTTTAAACCCTTATCGATACATTATCTATAATATAGCTTAACTATATTTTATTCACAAAAATACATTTTAGATTTTTTAATTGAAATATAAAAATGTATGTTGGCTTTGAGCTTATTATTCTTGGAAGTAAAAAAAAAACAGTGTTGGGCCTCTCGAGTCTTATTTGTGCGAATTTGACTTGCCATGTAAGTTATCATTTTTGTAGTTTTGATATCAATTTCAATTCAAAGGATTCAGATGTATGCATCAACATTTCTGCTATTGCTCATTTTTTTGGTCAGTATTTTGCAAAACAATGTCACAGTGTGGAAGGTGAAATGAATACCATGTATCATAGCTAGTTAAGTTAAAAAAAACAAACATTAGGACTAAGAAAATGTTTATTAACTGATTTCCCTTGCTGTTCATTTCGCAGCTGACAATGGCCAACATTGGAATAAATGGAAATCGTTCTACTGAGACCTGTGAAACAACACTCTTTGCTCTCCGAATGGCAACATGGAATCAAATCTTAGATCCCTGGGTCTATATTCTTCTACGGAAGGCTGTCCTTAAGAATCTCTACAAGGTTGCCAGACGCTTTTGTGGAGTGAATGTCATCAGCTTACATGGTTGGGAGCTTAGCTCCATTAAAAATTCCTTAAAGGTTTCTGCAATTTCTGAGTCACCAGTTGCAGAGAAAATAAATCAGCAATCACCCGGTTTAATAGGACAGTCATTCAGTGTAAGTTTAGGACAAAATTAAGAGAAGTTTGGCAATGTTTCAGTTAGTTGGGTGAGTATATAAAGCCTAACTGTCAAATTTAGGCATCAGCAAATAGTGTGGGGAGCACTTTTGTCAGATTCAGCTTTTGAAATTTGTAAAATTAACTGTGTAATTGCAGATTTTCACTTTGCTTTGCCAACTGCAGATAAACATGATGAAATAATGCCATGGAAGTCAAGTTGAAAACAATTTCGGGCTTATCTGTGTTATTTATGCTTTTGGAATGAGTGACTCTGTTGAGTCCTAAAGCATTTACTTGGCCTATTTGCCAAAGAACATCTTAAAACTACCCGCATTGTGAAACAGCTATTTGGTGGCCACTGCTCTGTAGCTGTTCCTTATAGACTAGGCTCACTGAAATGGAGCACCCTCCTATTTTGATCTGGCCTGTTTTACCTTTCATTGTGTAACCTCAGTTAATGTATGTATGGTTATGTCACATGGGGTTCACTGTGGTTTATTATAATGACCTCCATATACACCAGACGTGGCTGACAGGTTGCCTGGTCTTGCAGCCCTGTTTAGAATGATGCTGTCCTTGTCATATTTGACAAATATGACTGCTTACATTGATGTATATGAAGGTCAACTGTTATTTGAAGGTTTTCTTGGTAAGTCATAGATTTGCATACTTTTCCAATAATCCCCTTTTCCTTTGGAAATTCAAGGGCACAGAAATAATTTTTAGAGAAACAAAGACTCTATCTTGGCTTGGGTAGAGGTGATTTGCATTAGAGCAGTTCCTAAGCAGCTCTGCCATGGATAATGCAGACAGAACTTCAATACAGTGGTAGGTGCAAAGAGCACTGACAAAGGCACTTTACTTTAAATAATCATATTTGTGTCACAGAAAAGAAGAAACACAATCTATGTATAAATATATGAAGACTATCTGCACGTAGTGTGTTTCTATCTGCAGGTGGCACGTTTTTACTTTCCACTTACAAACACACACACACACACACACACAGCAGCAGGACATCAAAAGTTTCCGTTAAAAGCAACTTCGTTAAATCTGTCAGAGGGCATCTTCTAAAGCCTGTGCTACCCGTGTTAAGAGAAGGATTGGAAGTAGCTAGGTGTTTGGAGATCATAATAGTGGTTAACCAAGAGCTCTAGGGGTAATAATCTTTTCCCAAATTTCCTGCTAAAACTTTAGACTCTTTCTTTGCTTGTTTGTGTAATTCAACCCATGAAGTTTTAGTAATCTTTCAAAATGTCCTGCATTCATTAGAATATAGGGTAGGTAGTTCTGCTTTGTAATAGTAAAATGCACTTCTGTTGCCTTCATTAACTGGGGCTCATTTCAGAGTTAATCTTTCCTGTGAGACTGATTTCAGATTCTCTGTGAAATTTGGGCAGTTCAACTAGACTTAAGTCATATTCACAGATTTTTGTTTTTGACTGGTAATGTACATTAGAAGTTGTTGTCTACTTTTGTGAAGTTTGGAAAATTGTCATGAATAAGTTAAAAAAGATTAAGTGAATAGCCTCAGTGAAGATTTAATGGCAACCATTTCATTCAGTGAAGTTAAAGAAGGGAAACTCGCATATACATACTGGTATGTGATGTTCTTAATTTAAGACCAGTAAATGAGTAATCATACAAATTTAGGTTGTTCTATTTATAGAGCACATAGTAGATGTTTGATAAATACTTACCAAATTGAATCGCAAGAATTTCTTAATATGAAATGAGCATGGAAGTGCAAAGATTTTGTACATTTTTAATTTAAATGGACAATTACAGTGGTAATTGTGAGATATATGCATATATACTTGTATATGTATATATATGCACATATATTTGTGTGTATATATAGTGTAGATGCTTAAAAAAAGCCATTACAATTTATGATTGCTGTTATATTCCTAAGTGCTCTCTTGTGTTTTAAGAGGACTGAAAGCCTGGTTCCCAGGTAATATCTATTTGTCACAGTTGCTTCAAAATATTGGTGTCCTGTGAGCTGAGACACAGGGAACCAGACCTCTGTTGGTTTTCCTTATGCTGGCTGGGCAAGACGCTGCAGTGCACACTGTCTTGTATTGTGACCCTGGTGAGGGGCTGGGGAGAGAGTCTCATTCAGACTTCTGGTCCTCTTCTCCTTGAGGCTTTTCCAGTTGATTGGCAGAATTGTTGCTCTGTTGCTGTGATGTCACCCTGGCCATGTGTGTCTGAACGGAGGAGATGTGGGGACGTGACCACGTGTGGCAATGCGTGAGCACGCAAAGTTGTTCTGCACATGTCCTGGGAGAATTATCTATATTATCCGAGCACAGGATTAGGGTTTATGATGAGATGAAACCTAAGAAGTAGACACCAAAAATTGAAAAAAAATGTCTAGTAGAAGAATATTCATTTACATTGTTTTAGGCTTTCACCCAAGGAAAATGAAACAAAGCAAACACCACCAGATGCCTATCTGAGTTTAGAATTTTACTCTTGTTATTAATCATATTTCAATGTTGTTAGGCAATTTATTACATCAAGAATAGTAGAGTGGAGCATTCACCAATAACTTTTTGGTGAATATAGATTTTTTTAAGTAGGAGTATATATGTTCGACTATGGGAAATAAATAATATAAATAGTGTTCAACAAGTTCACTGATTTTGCAGTTTCAAACTCTATTTTAAAATTCACAATTAGACCAGAGTAAATGAATTTTTCTTGTCATTGGGTAAAGTAGTAAGCAACTTCTCATGTTATTTGTCATATTATTTCTGGGTAATTATATTATTATGGGCAAATGATTTGAAAATGCCAGGCTTTTCCTGATGATAATGAATTTAAAAAAAAAATAAGAAAAAGAAATCCAACAGCAAATGGGTTTTCTAATTATGAACACAAAGACAGAGAATGATGACTCATAATTAGCTGTGGATATGATCCCAAACATGAGACGTTTTACTGATGGATTTAATTAGGTGATAGAAATATGCTCTTGCAGACTTTTTTCTAAAGGGGAAGATTTGATTCTACTTATCCATATTGCTGAAGTGGAAGATACCTAAAAGTTCACACACACACACACACACACACACACACACACACACACGATGCAAAACCTGTCCTATGTAACAAATAGTCTTGTTTGCTCTAGTCTTGCCTTTTAGACTTAAAAACAAAAACTTGCTTTAGTTATGTGCCTGGTCTTAGAACCCAAGTAAGAGCACTTGTTAGATACAGAGAATGAATTTTTTGTGACACTCATTGCTGGGTTCACCTGTGTTGCCATTATCGTCCCAAATCAATAAACCGTGGTTGGAATATACAGGATGGAAACGTACATTTTCTTAATTCTTCATCTGGGTGTCAGAATATCTTACTACCCAGTAGATAGTGTTGGACTTCCACTTGGTACTGACATAACTTGTTACTGACATGTCAACTAATAGTAGATCTGTGTCTTGTGTGAATAAATGTATTTTGTGTTTTTCCTACTTGTCGGATTGTGTAAGAGGGTAAATAATGACATATTTTGTTGTGTCCATTGGTATTCAATTTGTAATGTTTGCAATTTGACTAGTTTAAAACTTCAAACAAATGGTTTTATAATAAACTTGAACTAGCATTTATCAAGAGTGGTTATTTTTTAAGAAAATCATACAAAAGTTGGAACTGTTGCCCTGGCTGGTGTAGCTCAGTGGATTGAGTGTGGGCCTGCACACCAAAGGGTCACTGGTTCAATTCCCAGTCAGGGCACATGCCTGGGTCCCCAGTAGTGGGCGTGTGAGAAGCAACCACACATTCATGTCTCTCTCCCTCTCTTTCTCCATCCCTTCCCTTCTCTCTAAAAATAAAGAAATAAAATCTTTTTTAAAAAGTTAGAACTCTTGAATTTAAACTCCCATTTTTATCTGCTATGAAAGTGCTTTTCAACCTTTTTCATCTCATGGCACACATAAACTAATTACTAAAATTCTGCGACACACTGGAAAATAAATTTTTTGCTGATCTGACTTCCAGATCAGCAATATAGGTATAATTCATTCACACCAAATGGTCACTATTGTGTTGGCTGTTGTCATTTTTTAATTTGTCAACCTAAGGGAGTGCCCCTTGACTATGCAGTCAGGTAGTACACATTTTACAAATTCTTATGGCACACCGGTACACCCGCACTCTGTGGCACACCGGTACTCTGTGGCACACCAGTACTCTGTGGCACACCAGTACTCTGTGGCACACTGGTACTCTGTGGCACACCGGTACACCCGTACTCTGTGGCACAGTGGTACTCTGTGGCACACCAGTACACTGGTATTCTGTGGCACACTGGTACTCTGTGGCATGCCAGCTGAAAAATCACTGTGCTAGGAGATGGGAAGAAATTCAACTTGTTTTCTATCATTACCTTTTGCTATCGTTTTCTGTGTATTCTGCTGTGATACCTGCTTTTTTTCTTTTTCCTGCCACATCTTACTTAGGTAGGTCATAATTATGATGTGAATCTGCTCATTTCTACCACACGATGACCCTGAAGTTAATCAGGATAGCCGAGGTATATTTGTGATAACAGCCCCCAAATCTCTGTGCCATAAACCCACAAACGTTTGAATCTCACCTGTGGCTCCTGTCCATTCAGAGGGGAAACTTTGCTCAGTGTAATCACTCAGAGACCACAGGTGACAAAGCAGCTGCCGCCCTATATGTTGCTGTTTGCCATGCTACAGGGCAAAAACAGCATGGCAGGTCATGCACTGGATGACAGCGCTTGGGCTGGAGGTAATACAGACTACTTGTGCTCACACCTCTCGAGCCAAAGCAAGTGATATGGTCCCACCAACTTCAAGGGAGGCAGGTAAGTGCAATACTCTGACATGCCCAGGAGAATGGAAAATAATTGCAGGACAGCACTAATGATTTCCACACTGAGTAACAACTTCTCTCATTCTTGCCTTCCTAATATAATTGAAACTTGGAAACACATTTGTTTCTCTTTTTAAACATTTTTATTATTGGGGGATATCACAGGATGAAAACCTTTAGGTCTCATTCTTCTAAACATCTTACAATTTATAAAGAAAAGGCAAAATAAATGCCACACATGCTGTTTGCAGTCAATAGAAATTTTAGATGAAGAAAAACAACTATAAAAATAAAGACTGAACCTGGCTGGTGGAGCTCAGTGGATTGAGCGTGGGCCTGTGAACCAGACAATTGCGGTTCGATTCCCAGTCAGGGCACATACAGGGGTTGCAGGCTGGTTCCCTGCAGGCCAGTTCCCAGCAGGGGAACGCATGAAAGGCAACCATACATTGATGTTTCTCTCTCTCTCTCCTTCCCTTCCCCTCTAAAGATAAATAAATAAAAAATCTTAAAAAAAAAAGAAATGGGACTTTATAATAAAAAAAAATGCAAGAAGTGAGACATTTCCGTATAATGCCCATACGTTGCCAAGTGGCAGCACTGCCTGAAATTGTTGCTTTTCTAATAAATAAAGATGTTTGAAACATATTTTTGTCTCTGTACTTCCAGTTTCTTTGTGACTGCAATGCCCCATGCCATTGAATTTAATTAAACTGTCAGAAAACCTGAGGTAAGACAACAGCACTGGAACAAGATGAAACGACCTTTTTTTTCCTTTTTCTCCAAGTGAGAACAGTTCTTTCATTTTCAACCCAATCTTAATAGGAGAGGAAGTACATCAGAATCTTGTTTAAAATTAAATTTTAGTAATCCGGACATGTAAGTTTATATATCAAGTGTTCTGCTTAAAGCTTCCATAGGGAGCTGTCTTTTGGCAAAAGTGTCAACTGCAAGTAATATGATAAAGGTGTGACATGCAGTTCTGACAAGTAGGTTGAAAGTTTTTATAGTATCAAAAAGTCTCATACTTGCTAATTTTTAGTTAATAATCTAGATAGTTTATGAAAATAATGAAAAGACCATTTTATATACATCTTATTCTTTTTTAAAAAATATTTTATGTATTTATTTTTAGAGTGAGGGGATGGGAAGGAGAAAGAGAGGGAGAGAAACATCAATGTGTGGTTGCCTCTCATGTGTCCCCTACTGGAGACCTGGCCTGCAACCCAAGCATGTGCCCTGACTAGGAATCGAACCGGTGACCCTTTGCTTCACAGGCCCACACTCAGTTCACTGTGCTACACCAGCCAGGGCTACATCTTATTCTTTTTTTTTCCAAAGGTTTTATTTATTTATTTTTAGAGGAGGAAGGGAAAGAGAGAGGGAGAGAAATATCAATGTGTGGTTGCATCTTGTGCGTCCCCTGCTGGGAACTGGCCTGCAACCCCGGTATGTGCCCTGACTGGGAATCGAACCGCAGTTGTTTGGTTCGCAGGCCTGTGGTCAATCCACTGAGCTACACCAGCCAGGGCTACATCTTATTCTTAATAAAATGAAGGCAGATTTATTGAAAGCTAAAGGAAATATATTTTAGATTTGGAGTGCATTTTACATTTCTACTTATAAAAGGATATAAATTCAGTCCTATGTTTCATATTTAATTTCTCTTGAATTAATTTTAGCATTTTGCAAAATCCAAATTTAGAAAATACCACAAATGTTCTTCAAATAAATGCAAATATTTTAAAAATACACCCTGTTGTCATTGTACTAACTTTCTCACATTAAATGAGGCAATCCTACACACTACTATATGAGGGGGATCCCCCAAACCCTGGAATTATCTTCTGGAGGGCGGGCCCCTTGTAGTACAGGCTTCTCCACTAGGTGAGTGTCCTAGGAACCCACCTGTATCAGGGTACCAGCTGGTGTTGTTGTGAGAGGCTGCGTTAAGCTTTAGTGAAATTTCTTTGAAGACACTTCAACACATTTGTCCATTTCATGATGGGTGATTTACAAGTGCACTTGTCCACAGCGTGCTGAGGGCTCAGCAGTTTTTGACCTAAAATGACATGACCCCCATACCCCACCCTCCCTGTTCACCCGATCTTTCCCCAAGTGACTATTTTGTTTCCCTGGGTGAAAAAAGTGTCTGGATAGGTGTATTGCATCAAATGGAGAGTACTTTGAAGGTGACTGAAGTTCAAACATGTAAGAATAAATACACATTTTTTTAATAAATAAATTGTGGGTTTTTTGACCCCCCTTCATACACCGACATAATTTTATTTTTAAAAAATGACATTATACTAAATGTGCTGTTGTGTTTTGCACTTTTTTTAGTTCATGTCAACTCACACAGGATGTTCTTCTCAACAGCTAAATAGTATCACATAATGTAACTGCACCATACTTTAAGAACTTTGTATTAAAGGAGAGCCGTTTTTGTTTCCGGTCACATCCCCCTTTCTAATAATGCTATTTTTCCAAATAATTCTATTTCAATATGAATATCCTTCTACCTTCTTTGCGCATGCTTTGTGGAATTGGCAGGTTAAGGCATGCTCGTTCTCACTGTTGGTATGTACTGCTAAATTGAACAGTGTGTGCTCCTGAGAGAAAAACACCCTCTTCCTGACATCACCCACCGTGTATTTCAGTAATCTTTTTATTGTTACTGATCTGATTGCCAAAACTAAATCATATTTATGTCATTCTTTGCTAATGAAGTTGAGCTTGTTTTTATACTTTTGTTCGTCATTTGCTCTTTGGTCTATTTCTTGTTCCTGATCTTCATTCATTTTTAATACATTAATTTTTTACTGCCTTTTAGGAAGACTGTTTTTTAAGAATATTATCCTAGTCTTTAGGGTTCCTGGGCTCAATTCCTGTGTGTGTGTGCACCCTGCTAGTGTCCAAGAATTCAACTCAGTTCTGACAATATCTACCGAGAGATAGCATCGGATCCCACAGGTTAAGGGTGCAATTTCTACGACTGTTCTTTCTCCCTTCCTCCTCACCTTTCATATGCCAGCTGAAAAGCCAAGCTCTTACCTGTACTTCTGACTAACTGGCTACAGATTGGAGGTTCCAATGACCCTGCAACTCAGGATGACAATCACAAGTCCAGGTTGTTACCTGTACTTCCAATCAACTGGCTATAAATCAGAGGTTCTCACAACTCACTCCTTATATTCAATTAATTTCCAAAAACAATTTGCAGAACTCAGAGAAATGTATTAGTAGATTGCCAGTTTATTATAAAAGGATATAACTCAGGGAAAGCCAGATGGAAGAGATAAAAAAGGCAAGGTATTTGGAAAGGGGTGCGGAGATTCCCTTCTCTTCTCTCTCTGGTCATCCCACTCTTCAAGCACCTCCATGTATTTACCAACCCAGAAGCTTCCTGAACCCCATCTTTTTAGGTTTTTATGGATGCTTCATCACCTAGGCTGGACTGAT